GTTGTCTTGATCAATATCCTACCAGCGGCAGTCTTATAGTAGCCGCAGTCTTCCACCAGCGGCAGTCTTATAGTAGCCGCAGTCTTCCACCAGCGGCAGTCTTATAGTAGCCGCAGTCTTATAGTAGCCGCAGTCTTCCACCAGCGGCAGTCTTATAGTAGCCGCAGTCTTATAGTAGCCGCAGTCTTCCACCAGCGGCAGTCTTCCACCAGCGGCAGTCTTATAGTAGCCGCAGTCTTCCACCAGCGGCAGTCTTATAGTAGCCGCAGTCTTCCACCAGCGGCAGTCTTATAGTAGCCGCAGTCTTCCACCAGCGGCAGTCTTATAGTAGCCGCAGTCTTCCACCAGCGGCAGTCTTATAGTAGCCGCAGTCTTCCACCAGCAGCAGTCTTATAGTAGCCGCAGTCTTATAGTAGCCGCAGTCTTCCACCAGCGGCAGTCTTATAGTAGCCGCAGTCTTCCACCAGCGGCAGTCTTATAGTAGCCGCAGTCTTCCAGCCGCAGTCTTCCACCAGCGGCAGTCTTATAGTAGCCGCAGTCTTCCACCAGCGGCAGTCTTATAGTAGCCGCAGTCTTCCACCAGCGGCAGTCTTATAGTAGCCGCAGTCTTCCACCAGCGGCAGTCTTATAGTAGCCGCAGTCTTCCACCAGCGGCAGTCTTATAGTAGCCGCAGTCTTATAGTAGCCGCAGTCTTCCACCAGCGGCAGTCTTATAGTAGCCGCAGTCTTCCACCAGCGGCAGTCTTATAGTAGCCGCAGTCTTCCACCAGCGGCAGTCTTATAGTAGCCGCAGTCTTATAGTAGCCGCAGTCTTCCACCAGCGGCAGTCTTATAGTAGCCGCAGTCTTATAGTAGCCGCAGTCTTCCACCAGCGCCGCAGTCTTCCACCAGCGGCAGTCTTATAGTAGCCGCAGTCTTCCACCAGCGGCAGTCTTATAGTAGCCGCAGTCTTCCACCAGCGGCAGTCTTATAGTAGCCGCAGTCTTCCACCAGCGGCAGTCTTATAGTAGCCGCAGTCTTATAGTAGCCGCAGTCTTCCACCAGCGGCAGTCTTATAGTAGCCGCAGTCTTCCACCAGCGGCAGTCTTATAGTAGCCGCAGTCTTCCACCAGCGGCAGTCTTATAGTAGCCGCAGTCTTCCACCAGCGGCAGTCTTATAGTAGCCGCAGTCTTATAGTAGCCGCAGTCTTCCACCAGCAGCAGTCTTATAGTAGCCGCAGTCTTATAGTAGCCGCAGTCTTATAGTAGCCGCAGTCTTCCACCAGCGGCAGTCTTCCACCAGCGGCAGTCTTATAGTAGCCGCAGTCTTCCACCAGCGGCAGTCTTATAGTAGCCGCAGTCTTCCACCAGCGGCAGTCTTATAGTAGCCGCAGTCTTCCACCAGCGGCAGTCTTATAGTAGCCGCAGTCTTCCACCAGCGGCAGTCTTATAGTAGCCGCAGTCTTCCACCAGCGGCAGTCTTCCACCAGCGGCAGTCTTATAGTAGCCGCAGTCTTCCACCAGCGGCAGTCTTATAGTAGCCGCAGTCTTCCACCAGCGGCAGTCTTATAGTAGCCGCAGTCTTCCACCAGCGGCAGTCTTATAGTAGCCGCAGTCTTATAGTAACCGCAGTCTTCCACCAGCGGCAGTCTTATAGTAGCCGCAGTCTTCCACCAGCGGCAGTCTTATAGTAGCCGCAGTCTTCCACCAGCGGCAGTCTTATAGTAGCCGCAGTCTTCCACCAGCGGCAGTCTTATAGTAGCCGCAGTCTTCCACCAGCGGCAGTCTTATAGTAGCCGCAGTCTTATAGTAGCCGCAGTCTTCCACCAGCGGCAGTCTTATAGTAGCCGCAGTCTTATAGTAGCCGCAGTCTTCCACCAGCGGCAGTCTTCCACCAGCGGCAGTCTTATAGTAGCCGCAGTCTTCCACCAGCGGCAGTCTTATAGTAGCCGCAGTCTTCCACCAGCGGCAGTCTTATAGTAGCCGCAGTCTTATAGTAGCCGCAGTCTTCCACCAGCAGCAGTCTTATAGTAGCCGCAGTCTTATAGTAGCCGCAGTCTTCCACCAGCGGCAGTCTTCCACCAGCGGCAGTCTTATAGTAGCCGCAGTCTTCCACCAGCGGCAGTCTTATAGTAGCCGCAGTCTTCCACCAGCGGCAGTCTTATAGTAGCCGCAGTCTTCCACCAGCGGCAGTCTTATAGTAGCCGCAGTCTTCCACCAGCGGCAGTCTTATAGTAGCCGCAGTCTTCCACCAGCGGCAGTCTTCCACCAGCGGCAGTCTTCCACCAGCGGCAGTCTTCCACCAGCGGCAGTCTTATAGTAGCCGCAGTCTTCCACCAGCGGCAGTCTTATAGTAGCCGCAGTCTTCCACCAGCGGCAGTCTTATAGTAGCCGCAGTCTTCCACCAGCGGCAGTCTTATAGTAGCCGCAGTCTTATAGTAACCGCAGTCTTCCACCAGCGGCAGTCTTATAGTAGCCGCAGTCTTCCACCAGCGGCAGTCTTATAGTAGCCGCAGTCTTCCACCAGCGGCAGTCTTATAGTAGCCGCAGTCTTCCACCAGCGGCAGTCTTATAGTAGCCGCAGTCTTCCACCAGCGGCAGTCTTATAGTAGCCGCAGTCTTATAGTAGCCGCAGTCTTCCACCAGCGGCAGTCTTATAGTAGCCGCAGTCTTCCACCAGCGGCAGTCTTCCACCAGCGGCAGTCTTATAGTAGCCGCAGTCTTCCACCAGCGGCAGTCTTATAGTAGCCGCAGTCTTCCACCAGCGGCAGTCTTATAGTAGCCGCAGTCTTCCACCAGCGGCAGTCTTATAGTAGCCGCAGTCTTCCACCAGCGGCAGTCTTATAGTAGCCGCAGTCTTCCACCAGCGGCAGTCTTATAGTAGCCGCAGTCTTCCACCAGCGGCAGTCTTATAGTAGCCGCAGTCTTCCACCAGCGGCAGTCTTTAGTAGCCGCAGTCTTCCACCAGCGGCAGTCTTATAGTAGCCGCAGTCTTCTACCAGCGGCAAAAGTCTTGCTACAAGTCTTATAGTAGCCCCAGTCTTCCACCAGCGGCAGTCTTCCAGTTGCAATAGTCTTCCAGTAGCGGCAGTCTTCCAGTTGCGAAAGTCTTTCGGTAGTGGAAGTCTTCCAGCTGCAGCAGTCTTCCAGCTGCAGCAGTCTTCCAGCTGCAGCAGTCTTCCAGCTGCGGCAGTCTTCCAGCTGCGGCAGTCTTCCAGCTGCGGCAGTCTTCCAGTTGCGGCAGTCTTCCAGGAGCCGGAGAGTCTTCCAGGAGTAGTGTTCCAGCAGCTGCAAGGGAGTATTCCAATAACGGAAGTCCTCAAGCAGCGACTGAATATGTTTAGTTTAGCTCAGTTAACCATAAAATAAATATAAAGAAAATTGTAAATGACAATTTAGGTAGAACTATAATAAGATAAAGCAGTAACGAAATAATAATTTAATAATAATAATTTTTATTTAGGTAAAGGTACATACATAAAGAGATTTTACAATGTTTGTTGGCTTTATAGATAGAGCTAGTACATACAATGCCTAAAGCCACTATTACGCAAAGCGTTTCGGGCAGAATTTCGGGCAGGAAATCGGTTCAGGAATGCTGAAATAACCTCCACAATGCTCGATGGTGCTGACTGTGAAGGTGACGCCACACTCAATATTGGTAACTGGCTGGGTACGACTGGCAAAGACTGGGTGTTGTTGAGAGTTGTTAGGTGCAGCAATGGATCGGCTGGTTTCGACTGGCAGTAGCTGAGAGTTGCGTTATGATATGTTATCCGTCAGATATGTTAAATACCGTCAGGTTCGGATGTAACGGGATTGGTGACAACCTTGGTAGCTGGTGATACGTTGATAAGACGTAACTGGCTCTTTGAAACTGGAATTGAAGTTTATTGAGGTATTAATACACACAAAGGGATGAGGTATCTCAAGCTATTCTCACCCTGTTCAGTACAACGTGTTATAATAATAATTATAATAATTTATTTGCAAGAAGGTACAATGGGTTGGTGAGATTACATAACACTGGTATTTTTACATGCATGCAAAACCACTAACACGCATAGCGTTTCGGGCAGATCCTTAATCTATCAAATCAGGTAAGATGAAAGGGTACATTGTAGCAAGATTTTTATATAAAAAACACACACACACTAATATATATATATATATATATATATATATATATATATATATATATATATATATATATATATATATATATATATATATATATATATATATAATATGTCGTACCTAGTAGCCAGAACGCACTTCTCAGCCTACTATGCAAGGCCCGATTTGCCTAATAAGTCAAGTTTTCCTAAATTAATATATTATCTCTAATTTTTTTCTTATGAAATGATAAAGCTACCCATTTCATATTGTATGAGGTCAATTTTTTTTTATTGGAGTTAAAATTAACGTAGATATATGACCGAACCTAACCAACCCTACCTAACCTAACCTAACCTATATTTAAAGTATTTATGTGTACGTCTGATACCATACTACTTGTGAAGGAGGAAATATATGTTTATCTCTCAGATTGTTTGGTAATATGTTTATTGTTTGTGATGTGTGTATATGTATGTATTAACACGATGTACTGAACGGGGTGAGAATAGGTTGAGCTCCCTCATCCCATTGTGTGTATTTTACATCAATAAACTTATTTCAATTTCAATTTCAATTGCATGTAACCAATATTGTTACAGCAAGGTAGCCGGCGGCTCGTCAAACGTGCCCCCCCCCCCCAGATTGTTACCGAGGATTTTTTTCTATCTGGATTTTAGACGTAAGTAATGACTTGGCATTACACCTTCGGCGGATAGGAGGTTTCATGGGTTAATGACCCTATGGATGAAAAAGTATGTTCTGTAGCAGGAATATTGTTAGTCGCTATATCCCTGTATTTTGTAATTAGATACAACTTTTGTTGACGACTTTCTCCAAGCACATGTCCATTAAGTCAGTCTTTTTTCTATATCAAGTTGTAACAGTGACCAAATATGTTGCAGGGTTCGAGTGTGTAGCCGAGATGACCTCTCGCCCACACAGTGAGAGGACAAAACTACCACCAGCAGCACCACTACTTCCAGACCTTCCAACACTACTTCCAGACCTTCCAACACTACTTCCAGACCTTCCAACACTACTTCCAGACCTTCCAACACTACTTCCAGACCTTCCAACACTACTTCCAGACCTTCCAACACTACTTCCAGACCTTCCAACACTACTTCCAGACCTTCCATCAAAAGCAGCACTATTCATCTGTCAGGACGAGTATAATCATGGCATCGCTTCGAGAATTTGTGTGTAGTCATCATGGGATGTGGCGGCGAGAGGCTCGTCCTTGTAACACAACAACTAGCGGGGTCTTCACCTCCAGTAAGGACCACTGTAAACCACTAGTTCTCGGAGGCCACCGGAAGTACCACGTCTACAGGTAACTCTTCGAAGAAGGATTACTACGTAGTCGAAGATCTTTCCTTACATTTGGCCAATATCTTCGATAATTGAAACAAATTTGGTTAATAATTATGTCAAATATTGTATCGTAAATCAACTTTTCCTCCTGACCCCTGACCCCTGACCCCTGACCAGTATCAATACCTCCGTAGAAAAACTAAGCCCCATCAACTTAAGCTCAGAACGGTGCTGAAATCTGTGTGTGGGAGGTGCCTGTTGGAGGTGCCTGTGGGAGGTGCCTATGGGAGGTGCCTGTTGGAGTGGGTGAAGGTGACAGCTGAGGATCCTTGTGTGAACTCCTTGGGATGCTTATAGCAACCTCTACATTTCGAAGCTTCACAAGAAACAAGTAAAGTTCACAAGAACACAGAAACCACACAAAACTCTGAACTGTGCGAAAAGTTTCATAACTTCACGAGTAATCTTGAGGCTTTACAGTTGCCCCGTCCTGTGTCCTCTGTTCGCATCCCAGCCCGTCCTCATCAACAAGGGCCAAATGCTCGTTAATCCAGCCGCCAAACTCCGTGTTTATGAATGAAAAACAGTTTACACACGACTCACAACTGATGACGTTCGTACTTTTCTTGAGCAGTGCTTCGCTGACGACCTCTGCTCGAATCGCAAGTCTGGACACAGCTCCGCTCCTGTGCCAGGTAAGTCCACTACGGGCTCACCATAGCCAGTGCTACTTGCAACTTTTGTTCAAGAGTAGCTGAATCTAAAACAACAATAACAACAAGTTTGTAAATGCTTCACAAGCGTTCTACAAACAAATAATCGCCAACAAAACCTAAACACCTAACCTAACCTAACCTAACCTAACCTAACCTAACCTAGTAGTAGTAGTAGTAGGAGGCAACAACTTAAACTCAGCTTAAGTTGATGCCTACTTAAAATGCCGTCGCAAGCCTCGCGACGGCATCCATCAGTCTCAGGAGACTATGGAGTTGCGCTCTGGTTGTCGATCTAGAGTGGCCTCTACCGGGCGCTAAGCCAGGGTAGGTTGATACGGGGGAGAAGCTGTTACCCATGCAGCAGGTCCTAATCTACAATGACTAAATATGGTAATTTATAATAATATTAATTTTTATTTGATAAAATTCCTGTTTTGAATGAACAGCATGTTAAAATTATTGACTGCGTCTTTGGGGTCGACCGCTGGATGGAATGGACTTGGTCTGAAGACGGGTTGCAGCCGTTCGCAAAATTACAGCCAGAAAATGGACTTACACATTACTTGGTTGTATAAAAAAATAGAATACGAAAATTAATGTTATATATATTGTGGTTTTAATCACAGTTAGACATAGGTTAAGCAGCCCGTCCTCATAAACAAACGGACATGGCTCGTTAATACAGCTGCCAAACTCCCTGTTCATTGGTTCCGCTGACATTCATTTATATTTTCAGGAGAGTATTTTGGCGAATCATTTTAAGCAGTACACTTCCAACACAGGAACTGTGTGAAGCAGTTATCGAGCAAAACTTGAACGAACTTGGCTGCAAGTCATGTGTAAAGTGCATTACATTCGTCAACATTCAGGTGACACGGGGAAATGGACTTGGCCCTATATTTATGGACGGGTTGGCAGGATGGAAGTGCTCTTGGTCACCGATGCCGGGCTGCTGGAGCCTCGCGACGGTCACCGAGCTGCTGGAGCCTCGCGACGGTCACCGGGCTGCTGGAGCCTCGCGACGGTCACCGAGCTGCTGGAGCCTCGCGACGGTCACCGAGCTGCTGGAGCCTCGCGACGGTCACCGGGCTGCTGGAGCCTCGCGACGGTCACCGGGCTGCTGGAGCCTCGCGACGGTCACCGGGCTGCTGGAGCCTCGCGACGGTCACCGGGCTGCTGGAGCCTCGCGACGGTCACCGGGCTGCTGGAGCCTCGCGACGGTCACCGGGCTGCTGGAGCCTCGCGACGGTCACCGGGCTGCTGGAGCCTCGCGACGGTCACCGGGCTGCTGGAGCCTCGCGACGGTCACCGGGCTGCTGAAGCCTCGCGACGGTCACCGAGCTGCTGGAGCCTCGCGACGGTCACCGGGCTGCTGGAGCCTCGCGACGGTCACCGGGCTGCTGGAGCCTCGCGACGGTCACCGGGCTGCTGGAGCCTCGCGACGGTCACCGGGCTGCTGGAGCCTCGCGACGGTCACCGGACAAAGGCTGAGCAGTTTTAGCCGTCAATGTTGTGGTGCTTCGAAGGCTCACATCTTTGAAGTCTCGGTTCATGTCTTTCATTATTTAAACGAAAAAGCAAGATCTCGTCGAATTATTAAGTGGGTATTTGTGTTTGAGGCCACTGTTAATGTTGTGGGTTAACTAACCTTACTGTAATATGGTAAACTGTATGATAAAAACTGACTTTTAGGGGTCTACAAACTGCTCACTTTCTTGAAAAGAAGTGACCTCTTAATACGGGTTGTGAACTCTTATCTTCCCGCCAGGAGAACATTTGTGAACTACTGAACACCGTGAACAGACAGCCAGCCTCAGTGGTCCTGATGATGAACACGGACTAAAGGTTGTGTTCACTTGCTTACCATGTTTCTGCTCTCTGTTCCGCCTCGTCGTCGCGAGGCTCTTTTTTATTTGGTGAGAGAGAACTGAGGAAGGCGTTACACACCTGACTATAGTACACATGTGGGAAAGGCTGCACCCGCTCAGGGAACGACATGCAAAGTAAGAAATAGGTGAAATAGGCCTACTGCCCTATCCTTGGCAGGTTCTCCTCATATCAAACATTTTCCCTTCTGAATCATTTACTTTTTAAAACTCACTAATTACTAATCCCAGTAATGCTACCAGTAATAATTATTTCAAATCGTCTTTAACATTATAACCAACTAATATTTGCATTTATCCGTTGAAAATCGATATATCTCACTTTCTTAACCTCCGTTACGGGTTCTGAACTGGTTTTGCAACTTCGAAACCTCGTGTATGTCCCCATGTAAATACTCTACATTTACTTGTAGATTTGAATCGTGTGGTCCCTGTTCTACGTCTCGGAAAATAATGTAACTTAGTAACAAAGATTCGTCTAGCACACTCCCACACACCCGTACACCTTTCACTGCTCCTACACACTCCCACACACACCCGAACACCCTTCACTGCTCCCACACACACCCGAACACCCTTCACTGCTCCCACACACACCCGAACACCCTTCACTGCTCCCACACACACCCGAACACCCTTCACTGCTCCCACACACACCCGAACACCCTTCACTGCTCCCACACACCCCCGAACACCCTTCACTGCTCCCACATACACCCGAACACCCTTCACTGCTCCCACACACACACCCAAACACCCTTCACTGCTCCCACATACACCCGAACACCCTTCACTGCTCCCACACACTATCTGCCCTCAGCGCCGTGTACAGAGCCTGAGACGTCACCACGTTTGTCATCGTTGAGCGTAAATCCTGTACGCGTTAACCTCTACGATCACCGTAGAGGTTAACCATTACGGCTTCACTGTAGATAACTACTATGGCGTCACCGTATGATAGCCACTATGCAACCGGAAACCTTTACTGGTTATAATTTCAAATTTTGTTTCTTTTTCAGCAGAATAATTTAACGTTTCCAATTCATCCACTAACATTTGATCTCAAAATGTAACACTTATCGGAAACTCAATTAACGACTAGCTGCGGTCAAGAATGTTCTCGTTGCATAATAGATGGCATAACTTGGGTCCGTTGTTCATCTCCTGTTATCCATAGTGACGTTAGTAGGGCTCACCATCCTCATTATGACTCGTAATGAACGGGGTCTGGGCTGTCAAGTACTTGTGTGTCTAACTACCTGTGTTATGGTGGACAGGTACGACCTGCCTGTAGTACTTGGGGACAGTAGCCTCCATCGTTGGCCCCCTAGCGCCCACTCTTAGCTGTTCCTGCTCCCAGTACCCTTGTTTGTGTCTTACCTGGTGCACCTGTGGAACGTTGTCTGGGGCACCTGTGGAACGTTGTCTGGGGCTCCTGTGGAACGTTGTCTGGGGCTCCTGTGGAACGTTGTCTGGGGTTCCTGTGGAACGTTGTCTGGGGCTCCTGTGGAACGTTGTCTGGGGCACCTGTGGAACGTTGTCTGGGGCTCCTGTGGAACGTTGTCTGGGGTTCCTGTGGAACGTTGTCTGGGGCACCTGTGGAACGTTGTCTGGGGCACCTGTGGAACGTTGTCTGGGGCTCCTGTGGAACGTTGTCTGGGGCTCCTGTGGAACGTTGTCTGGTGCTCCTGTGGAACGTTGTCTGGGGCACCTGTGGAACGTTGTCTGGTGCTCCTGTGGAACGTTGTCTGGGGCACCTGTGGAACGTTGTCTGGTGCTCCTGTGGAACGTTGTTTGGGGCTCCTATGGAACGTTGTTTGGGGCTCCTGTGGAACGTTGTCTGGGGCTCCCGTGGAACGTTGTCTGGTGCTCCTGTGGAACGTTGTCTGGGGCTCCTGTGGAACGTTGTCTGGGGCTCCTGTGGAACGTTGTCTGGGGCTCCTGTGGAACGTTGTCTGGTGCTCCTGTGGAACGTTGTCTGGGGCTCCTGTGGAACGTTGTCTGGGGCTCCTGTGGAACGTTGTCTGGGGCACATGTGGAACGTTGTCTGGGGCTCCTGTGGAACGTTGTCTGGGGCTCCTGTGGAACGTTGTCTGGTGCACCTGTGGAACGTTGTCTGGTGCTCCTGTGGAACGTTGTTTGGTGCTCCTGTGGAACGTTGTCTGGGGCTCCTGTGGAACGTTGTCTGGTGCACCTGTGGAACGTTGTCTGGTGCACCTGTGGAACGTTGTCTGGTGCTCCTGTGGAACGTTGTTTGGGGCTCCTATGGAACGTTGTTTGGGGCTCCTGTGGAACGTTGTCTGGGGCTCCTGTGGAACGTTGTCTGGGGCTCCTGTGGAACGTTGTCTGGTGCACCTGTGGAACGTTGTCTGGTGCACCTGTGGAACGTTGTCTGGTGCTCCTGTGGAACGTTGTTTGGGGCTCCTATGGAACGTTGTTTGGGGCTCCTGTGGAACGTTGTCTGGGGCTCCTGTGGAACGTTGTCTGGTGCACCTGTGGAACGTTGTCTGGTGCTCCTGTGGAACGTTGTCTGGTGCTCCTGTAGAGCGTTGTCTGGTGCTCCTGTGGAACGTTGTCTGGTGCACCTGTGGAACGTTGTATGGTGCTCCTGTGGAACGTTGTCTGGTGCTCCTGTGGAACGTTGTCTGGTGCTCCTGTGGAACGTTGTCTGGGGCTCCTGTGGAACGTTGTCTGGTGCTCCTGTGGAACGTTGTCTGGAGCTCCTGTGGAACGTTGCCTGGGGCTCCTGTGGAACGTTGTCTGGGGCTCCTGTGGAACGTTGTCTGGGGCTCCTGTGGAACGTTGTCTGGTGCTCCTGTGGAACGTTGTCTGGTGCTCCTGTGGAACGTTGTCTGGGGCTCCTGTAGAACGTTGTCTGGGGCTCCTGTGGAACGTTGTCTGGTGCACCTGTGGAACGTTGTCTGGTGCTCCTGTGGAACGTTGTCTGGTGCTCCTGTGGAACGTTGTCTGGTGCATCTGTGGAACGTTGTCTGGTGCTCCTGTGGAACGTTGTCTGGTGCTCCTGTAGAGCGTTGACTGGTGCTCCTGTGGAACGTTGTCTGGTGCTCCTGTGGAACGTTGTCTGGTGCTCCTGTGGAATGTTGCCTGGGGCTCCTGTGGAACGTTGCCTGGGGCTCCTGTGGAACGTTGTCTGGTGCACCTGTGGAACGTTGTCTGGGGCACCTGTGGAACGTTGCCTGGGGCTCCTGTGGAACGTTGTCTGGGGCACCTGTGGAACGTTGTCTGGGGCTCCTGTGGAACGTTGTCTGGGGCACCTGTGGAACGTTGTCTGGGGCTCCTGTGGAACGTTGTCTGGGGCACCTGTGGAACGTTGTCTGGTGCTCCTGTGGAACGTTGTCTGGGGCTCCTGTGGAACGTTGTCTGGGGCTCCTGTGGAACGTTGTCTGGGGCTCCTGTGGAACGTTGTCTTGTGCTCCTGTGGAACGTTGTCTGGGGCTCCTGTGGAACGTTGTCTGGGGCTCCTGTGGAACGTTGTCTGGGGCTCCTGGGGAACGTTGTCTGGGGCTCCTGGGGAACGTTGTCTGGTGCTCCTGTGGAACGTTGTCTGGTGCTCCTGTGGAACGTTGTCTGGGGCTCCTGCAGAACGTTGTCTGGTGCTCCTGTGGAACGTTGTCTGGTGCACCTGTGGAACGTTGTCTGGTGCTCCTGTGGAACGTTGTCTGGTGCACCTGTGGAACGTTGTCTGGTGCTCCTGTGGAACGTTGTCTGGGGCACCTGTGGAACGTTGTCTGGTGCTCCTGTGGAACGTTGTCTGGGGCTCCTGTGGAACGTTGTCTGGGGCTCCTGTGGAACGTTGTCTGGGGCTCCTGTGGAACGTTGTCTGGTGCTCCTGTGGAACGTTATCTGGGGCTCCTGTGGAACGTTGTTTGGGGCTCCTGTGGAACGTTGTCTGGGGCTCCTGGGGAACGTTGTCTGGGGCTCCTGGGGAACGTTGTCTGGGGCTCCTGTGGAACGTTGTTTGGGGCTCCTGTGGAACGTTGTCTGGGGCTCCTGTGGAACGTTGTCTGGGGCTCCTGTGGAACGTTGTCTGGGGCCCCTGTGGAACGTTGTCTGGGGCTCCTGGGGAACGTTGTCTGGGGCTCCTGTGGAACGTTGTCTGGTGCTCCTGTGGAACGTTGTCTGGTGCTCCTGTGGAACGTTGTCTGGGGCTCCTGGGGAACGTTGTCTGGTGCTCCTGTGGAACGTTGCCTGGGATACCTGTTGAATATTATTGCTGCTATTTCCTATTAACTATTCTCGATCTTATCCTTAGTTAATACCCTTTAGATGATTTATGAAATAATTACTACCATAACACATTCCTTCAACTTTCGTTAACTCCACTTACCAGACTGGTGATTACTATAACTACTACAACCACCACCACCACTTCTACTTCAACAACTAATACAAGAACTACTGATGCTCTCATACTACCACCATCAGCAAACTTTCTCTGTCAAACATATCCAACGTGAATCAATCTCGTCAAAATATCAGTCATAAAAACAATATTTTTTTGATAATCAAAAAGTGGACAGGACCTGGTGGTGTCCACACGTAGTCTCGCAGCGTCACTGCCAGTCCGACCAGGTGCTCAGTGTACCTCACCGTTGAGCATATGGTGCATCTCTGTTGATCCACCGGGACACTACAGTACCTCAGGCAGTTTGGAAGGTCGTCATTTACGTGGTTCTCTTTGTTCCACACTCGACCATAGTACAGGAAGTGGACTGGGCTGCTGATACAAGTCCCTCAGCCTGGACATTACAGGTGGGCTGTACAAGCAAGCACAGCGCTTACACTGGGGTATAGAGGCCAACAGGTAACGTGGACTGGTGTGTGTACACAGCTGGGGCCAGATTCACGAAAGCACTTACGAATCTGTCTATCTTTTCTCAATCTTTGGCGGCTTTGTTTACAATTATTAAACAGTTAATGAGCTCGGAAGCACCAGGAGGCTGTTTATAACAATAACAACAGTTGATTGGCAAGTTTTCCTGCTTGTAAACTGTTTAATAAATGTAACCAAAGCCGTCAAAGATTGAGGAGAGATGTACACGTTCGTAAGTACTTTCGTGAATCTGGCCTCTGGTCTTTATGAAGTACAGGCTACACATATCTCAAGCGTGCTGGGTGTACCTACCCCTCACTGGTGCATTCCTGGCAACTAGTCTCACTCTCTTCCTGGGGTTTGTCATAAGCTGATCTCGTCTTTTTTATAGGAACTATAATGATACGGTTGTTTCAGTCACTCAAGTGATTTTTTTAAGAGTGATACATGTACCTTATATTAGGAATATATGCATAGGCCTCACACACGTAGTTTAGCCAGACGCCATAGGTGCTTTATGTAGTACAAGGATTCTGGAGACCCACTAGGACGCTGGAGGAGGTTTATCATTGATTATGTGGGTCTGATAGCTTATTGATATTCAGCTTCCTACAGATTTTGCATTTTTATGACACTTTTAAATGGTAGAGGAAAGCCTTGCATTCGACTGTGTGGATCCGTGTATAAGATGTTTGGTGTAACTGGCAGGTAAACACGAGGAGCCTCCAGTCAATGCATAACGATAAATTATAATTATAGGCTCTCATCTATAATTATAGGCTCTCATCTATAATTATAGGCTCTCATCTATAATTATAGGCTCTCATCTATAATTATAGGCTCTCATCTATAATTATAGGCTCTCATCTATAATTATAGGCTCTCATCTATAATTATAGGCTCTCATCTATAATTATAGGCTCTCATCTATAATTATAGGCTCTCATCTATAATTATAGGCTCTCATCTATAATTATAGGCTCTCATCTATAATTATAGGCTCTCATCTATAATTATAGGCTCTCATCTATAATTATAGGCTCTCATCAAACTACACGTGACTTTCCTGCCAACCGCAGGCCAGCCAGCCAGCCAGCCAGCCAGCCAGCCAGCCAGTCAGCCAGCCAGCCAGCCAGCCAGCCAGCCAGCCAGCCAGCCAGCCAGCCAGGTTTCACGTTTGTTTATTATTTATAGGTAACAAATTCACGAATTGGAAACCCTTTTGTTTATAAAATAACTTCACGTTCTGACGCTTCTGCCAAAGTTGATTTATCCTGGTTTACCACCACTAATATTACCATTGTTATTGTTGCCGCCGGAGCCGGTGAGTTTACTGTGCACAACATACTCGAGTAGTAGTTTACTGTGCACAACATACTTGAACGGTAGTTTATTATGCACAACATACTTGAGTAGTAATTGTGCACAACATACTCGAGTAGTAGTTTACTGTGCACAACATACTTGAGTAGTAATTGTGCACAACATACTCGAGTAGTAGTTTACTGTGCACAACATACTTGAGTAGTAATTGTGCACAACATACTCGAGTAGTAATTTATTGTGCACAACATACTTGAGTAGTAATTGTGCACAACATACTCGAGTAGTAATTTACTGTGCACAACATACTCGTCCTGTAAGCGGTAGCGCAAGAAAGAAAATTAAGGTATAATGTGAAGATTACAGATATTATATTGCCTTTTAGTTTACATATCTTTGGTTCCTTAAGTCTAGGAAGCCATTGGCAGAGGTTCAGCATTAGGGGAGTGGCATTGCTGGCCTGTGATTGGTCGATAGGTTAATTTTCATCAAGGAATTGAGCTGTTGGTTGTTAATTGCTGTGTTGCTGCTGGTAAGAAACACTGGAGCAGGTCCTCGACTGGTCTGCGAGAAGCATGAACGATCTTCTGGAGTCGTTACGACCGTGCAAGATGTCCCTCCATCTGGGAAAAGCAAATATTTCAACGAAGAACTTTTCCTTGAAGAAGCAATGGTGCCTCATTCTCGGGAAACTTGTTGGTGTTAATGAAACTTGTTATTGATGTGATCCTGTTGTTAATGTCATATTGTTAAACTTAAAATAACTTCTTGTTGGAGTATACAAAGGTAATTGTTTGAAATAGTGTGAAGTACACTAAGATAAAGGGATGTCGTAAGCCTTACATAAAGTGATATGCCTTTAGGACTGAAGTAGGAATGTTATGCTATTGAAGAGCACTTCACGTTATGTGGTTAGTGTTTAATGGTATGTCAGTGTATGTTTTATCTGCGCGTCTGAGAGTGGTGGCTGATATAAGTATTTGGATGTGTATATTGTTATAATTGCTGCCAGAAACGTTACACAGTGTTTGATGTGCTTGTTGTTGGTGAGTTTTGTGTTCTCTTGACGGGCAGTGATTCTTGGTCACTGCTGCACCGCGCGCACACGCCTGCACGAGCGCACGCACGCACACGCACACACACACACACACACACACACACACACACACACACACACACACACACACACACACACACACACACACACACACACACACACACACACACATGGATGGAATGCATTAGGCAGTGATGTGGTGGAGGTTGACTCCATACATAGTTTCAAATGTAGATATGATAGAGCCCAGTAGGCTCAGGAACCTGTACACCAGTTGATTGACAGTTGAGAGGCGGGACCAAAGAGCCAAAGCTCAACCCCCGCAAGCACAAATAGGTGAGTACACACACACACACACACACACACACACACACGCACACACACACGCACACACACACACATGCACACACACACACACACACACACGCACACACACACACACACACACACACACACACACACACACACACACACACACACACACACACACACACACACGTACGTACGTTCGTGGATTATGCCATCCTCCACACCATACTCGTATTCATTCACTCGTCTGCATATATTTACCCTAAAGTGTATAGTATATATATATATGTATACTCATTCACACTGCAAAGTCATAGTTTCGTATACAGGGAAGTTTTGGTCACACTTATAGTATCTGTAAGGCGACAAGACCACAGATAATTGATTGTAATTATCTTCGTGCAGCCTCCAGGGCAGTGATGCCCTAGAGGGACGTGCTCTGAGACCAGGTCTCTGATCAGCCTCCGGCACAGAGCGCATACGTCGCCCTATACACTACTCAGCTACCAAACATGTTTACAGTAACCATGACGACTTGTGCAGCTGCTGCTCGCTCTGTGAACCGGGTCTTGGACATCTGGAGTGTTTCTCCTGAAACATTTATAAGCTGAGAAAGTAGCCATGATGTCATACCGACCTGAACACTTGTTATGAAGAATATGGTGTTGGCTGCAGGTCCTGTGAACAACAGTGCTGGCTGCAGGTCCTGTGAACAGCAGTGCTGGCTGCAGGTCCTGTGAACAACAGTGTTGGCTGCAGGTCCTGTGAACAGCAGTGCTGGCTGCAGGTCCTGTGAACAGCAGTGCTGGCTGCAGGTCCTGTGAACAACAGTGCTGGCTGCAGGTCCTGTGAACAGCAGTGCTGGCTGCAGGTCCTGTGAACAGCAGTGTTGGCTGCAGGTCCTGTGAACAACAGTGCTGGCTGCAGGTCCTGTGAACAACAGTGTTGGCTGCAGGTCCTGTGAACAACAGTGTTGGCTGCAGGTCCTGTGAACAGCAGTGCTGGCTGCAGGTCCTGTGAACAACAGTGCTGGCTGCAGGTCCTGTGAACAACAGTGTTGGCTGCAGGTCCTGTGAACAACAGTGCTGGCTGCAGGTCCTGTGAACAGCAGTGCTGGCTGCAGGTCCTGTGAACAGCAGTGCTGGCTGCAGGTCCTGTGAACAACAGTGTTGGCTGCAGGTCCTGTGAACAGCAGTGTTGGCTGCAGGTCCTGTGAACAACAGTGCTGGCTGCAGGTCCTGTGAACAACAGTGCTGGCTGCAGGTCCTGTGAACAACAGTGCTGGCTGCAGGTCCTGTGAACAACAGTGCTGGCTGCAGGTCCTGTGAACAACAGTGCTGGCTGCAGGTCCTGTGAACAACAGTGCTGGCTGCAGGTCCTGTGAACAACAGTGCTGGCTGCAGGTCCTGTGAACAACAGTGCTGGCTGCAGGTCCTGTGAACAACAGTGTTGGCTGCAGGTCCTGTGAACAGCAGTGCTGGCTGCAGGTCCTGTGAACGGCAGTGCTGGCTGCAGGTCCTGTGAACAGCAGTGCTGGCTGCAGGTCCTGTGAACAACAGTGCTGGCTGCAGGTCCTGTGAACAACAGTGTTGGCTGCAGGTCCTGTGAACAGCAGTGTTGGCTGCAGGTCCTGTGAACAGCAGTGTTGGCTGCAGGTCCTGTGAACAGCAGTGCTGGCTGCAGGTCCTGTGAACAACAGTGTTGGCTGCAGGTCCTGTGAACAACAGTGCTGGCTGCAGGTCCTGTGAACAACA